GGAGGTAGTAACCTTTAGGACAAGCATTCCAATGATGAAAAAATTATGGAATAGTCTTCTTCATATAGTCTATGGAATAGCATTCCAAATTCAGACACACTCTCTTAGTACAGACTTAAGACAAATATCTGAATTTGAAATGCTCGTAAGACTATTCCATCATTTTTTAAGACCAAGGGGAGAATTATCTACCTCCTTGTTTTTATTTAGAATATTCTATTTTTTTATATCCTGGAATTGTGTTATTAACACAATGGATTGTAGGTAACAAGGAGCTGAAACATTCGGTACTTTCTAAAGTAATTAATATAGTTCTAAAATTAGCTGACAGACAGCCAATGTATGGACAATAAAATGGTCCTGATGTGATCATGTAAGTGCTATATACATGTAAAAATTATTATTATAATTATCATGGTTTCTGTTTCTAGTAAGTACTCTAGTGGCTAGCTCTAGCTCTGAACTAGCTTATTTATTGAGCCTGCAGGACATCCACTCGGTAATGCATTACAAAAGTATTATCATGCATACATAAATTAATCTTTCAGCATCTGAAACACTTTTACATTTTGATGAACTATCTAAATTGAACCAACAGTGATTTAGATTTGTTTTCTCTGTGTTCTAATGATTTTTTTTTGCACTTATGATATTTTACAGTGGCAAAACTTGGGATGATACGTGGGAGCCTGCCAGTGAATTCGCACATTTTATGCCTAATTCCCCACATCCCAACCAGCTTTCAGCATGATGTGTCGTGAGCCTAGTCAGCTGGACTTAAGCAGATTTTTCTTCTTTTTGTATTCTTTTTATTTTTTTTTTTCTTGCTTTTGTTCATTAAAGTTTTTTGCACAATACCCAGTCTCTTTTGTGTTTACTTGCTTAATGGTGTTTAAAAAACAACCTTTTTCATGAACTGCACAGATCATAAGGGAGAAAAATTAGTGCAGTTGGGAGTTTGACATAATAACATTTTTTTTTTTTTTTTTAGTATAGGTAAGTCTACTTGATCTATTTGTTTGGTAAACAACAGAATACTCCTTAATATATTAAAATGTCACTTAAATGTAGTGGTGTTTGAAATATTCAATTACAATATTAGATATTAATTCCTTTAACATTTATAATCATAATTGTTATTATTGTAATTACCTATTTATATTTGCCTTGCTTTTTTCACAGCAAAATAATGAATAATGTAAAACTAAATGTGTGTGTGTATATATATATATATATATATATATATATATATATATATATATATATATATATATATTGGGGGCAATGTGTTCTTCAAAGGAAGGGGTTAAAGAAACGTCTTCATATATTTTGGCACATCACATGAAAAACTAAGGTGAACTACAAGGTAGTGGGCATTCAAGGTGAACATGATGGCTTCAATTTACTTATTAGATTATATATAGTTTCCATTGAAGGGGTTTTTGTTAGTCCCTTTTGAATTTGATTAAGAGATTTATTTACATCTGTTAAACAAATACTACAATGCTATAATAACTAGAGTTTGTATTTTTGTAAGATCGCTCATATATTATTATTACGTTATACAATAATACATTATACATAAATAATCATGGAAATTAAGTCGTATTTCTTTCAATGAAAAATAACAACAAAATAAATAAATATCCTGGATTTGCGTACATCAAAAGTCGGAAGAACCACCAAATGGCCAAGTGTGACGTAGTTTTGACGTTTCCATGGCGCCAGCAGGACAAGCTGTGGTTGGACTAACGTTTATGTCAGAATAAAAAACGCTCCATATCGCAAACTATGTTTTGCTGTCGTTATGACGTCAATAATACTACCAGTTAACAATGAGGTATTGCTATATTAAAAGATATTACACCTTTACCGAGATCCTAACCCTAACCCTGTAGTGTAACTACACACTTCAATGAACTACAATTTACAGCGCCCGTCCCAGTGACACAACGATAGAGGCTCATGGGTAATATAGTTTTAAAACGTATTGTTATGGAATTAAATAAATACAATCTTTAATGAACAAAAGTACATCTAAATATGTTAATTAAGCTAATCTCTTCGACATATTTGAGATTCAGACTAAAATGTGGTATTTCACTGTGAGCACTTTTTAAAATGCTTTTGTAACACCTTTCCATGTATGCCAGACATCTCTGTTCAACATTATGTATTAAACATAACAAAAATAATTTTCCTACCAATGTTTACTTCTATACGCTTATCAGACTTTGCATTTGCAGACTTTGCAGAGTGTTTTTTTTTTTTTTTTTTTTTTTTTTTTTTTTGCTTTTCCAGGGGTGCTACGGGACCCAGGGAGGAAGGGCGGATATAGCTACTCTCTTCATCATGGACAACAAACTGTATTGAGTCACATTTATATCTGCACATTATTTTTTTCCCCACCTTTTTTATATTTATCATGCTTGTGTTGGTTTTGATCTGCACTCGTAACACAAAAATACAGTAATATTTTACAAATGTTTTAAAATAGACTTTTCCGAATTGCTAAAACACTAACCCCGTTTACAGACAACAACTCAAAATTGTTCACTTATTTCTAATTGATGAGATCAAACCAATTGCACATAATACAAGTCAGTTCAGAGTTCCAAAATTGATTTAAAATGTTGCACTGAATGTTGATACAAACAATGGATGGTAACAATATAAGAGGGAGAGTATGTGAAATAGGTGGTGAACAAAGAGGAAGAGGAGGAGGATGAGAACGAGCAGAGCAAGGTGTGGAGAATGTTTTAAAGGCTGGATCTGCTTTAGCGATTTTCCTTTTGCCTGAGATGACATTGTCTGTGATGTCAGTGGCCAAGGTCTTCCGGCCGGACCAACATGAAGACATGATGCTGAAGCAGAATCACTCTCTCACTGACCATGATTTTGCAATAATTCTTCTGAGTGTACATTTCTGTTTACACACATTTTCAAAACTAAGTCTCCTTTTTTCAAAACTATACACACAATTCTCAAAACTGCCAAACACATGTCAGAATGAAGCATTTGCAAATAGCAAACACGTCTTTCATAATAATACACTTTTGAATATACCATGTAAACACTGCTGTTCTAAATCTAAAGCTCTTTGGTCTTTCATAGGCTTATATCTACATTTCAATACAATGTTCTACAGTGAGAGTAATCTGCTGAGAGGGGTAACAAGTACGCGTAAACACCAATGCAATGTAGAAACAGAAATTATATATTAGGCCAAACATTACTATTGTATACATAGCATACAACAAAACTATAAACATGTACATAAGCAATGTTTGCACATGTGAGGAGTGTGTGTGTGACCTGGTGAATAAGTGTAGCATTTTGATTGGTTGTGTCTTTGTGCTATCTTTAGCTATCTTGTGTAGCTATCTTATTTTTAAGAGAAATGTGTGTAGTGTTTTGAAAAAAAAAAAAGTGTTTTATGCAATTGAAAACTGAGTCAAAAGCTGAGAAATAACGTATGGTTTGAAGATTTGGCAAATAGTTTTGCACTTTGAGTGAGAGGTTTCAAAAATCATGTGACATGAAAAGATTTTGTGTGTAGGCAGTTGGTAAAAACTGTAACATGCTTTTGATTTAGGCTTTTTTCACTGTAACCTTTTTGTCTTTTGCAGTTGTTTTACTGTATTTTCACAGTATGCAAAACAGTGCTGAAGACATTCAATACTATATAATATTCGGTAACAATATGCATTTTACATTCCCGTTACCCATGTACATACTATAAACTAATTATAGTAAATACAATCACTGGGTAATAACTATGTTCTAACCCTGAACCTACCACTAGCCCATGTACTTACCTTATACTGTATTAGCCAGTACTTTCTAGGTAAGTACACTGTAAGTACTGTACACTACTGTAAAAGGAAGCATTAACTTATATTCAGTACAATTCTATACTTGCAGTGCTTACAGTACACAATTTATTCACCTTGTCATTATTATACTTTTTAACGTAATTGCAAAAACAAAATTACTTAGTTGCGATACATTTCTTTTTGGTAACTGCGTGTTTTGGATTCTGTTCTTAATTTTTTTTTTAATTTGTTGTCTAACAAATGATCTGTAGTGATCATAATAATGATTATTCCTCCTCATCATTATGGTTTTCCTCCTCATAATCTGCTTCTTCCATTTCACAAAACAGGTTTCAATTGACTTTATGCCCAGCTGCACTACTTCCTGAATTTCAGTCAGCTCCTTGTTTCCTGTCTGCCATTATTGGCCAAATTGATTAATTCAGGTGTGCTTGACCTCAGTAGTCACGGCAACAATAATCAGACACACCTGAATTAATCAATTTGGCCAATAATGGCAGACAGGAAAAAAGGAGCTGGCTGAAGTTCAGGAAGTAGTGCAGCTGTGCATAAAGCCCATTGTTATACAACACCCTACAGTTCAACTAATGAAAGTTACTATACCTCACAGTACAGTACTTTAATTAATGCAATTACATTCCATCACTGACTGGTTTAAGAGGCATGCATGTACACATTTCTATGTATGTGAAAGAAGAGGTTACACTTTGGTTTTATTTATATGGTGATAAATAGCAGATTTTATTACATGCTTTATATTCATAGTTAAGGCTATTGTCCAAGTATGAAAGGTGTTACAGTCTTGTAGATTACAGTCCATCATCAGAAATGTCATCGTCACTGTCGTACTCATCAGATGATGCATTGTCCAAAAAGCTGATGTTCTCTGCTCCGGACAAAACTTGGAGGTAACAGTCTCTTGCTTGCACCTTCATTTCTCTGATTTGATGCCGCTTTCTGAGGATGATGCTGTGCAGACCTTTCAAACCCTCTCCACTTAGATCACATTGCGAATCTTAAAAGAGGAACACAAGAATATAATACCAGCCTTAGAAACGTTATAAACAGTCATCATTGTTGTGTGTATATTTATTAGGGCCCCCTAATAGCAATCTTTTGTCGGTGCAACCCTATGGCTATAGCCTGGTTGCAACCAGACCATTCATTCATAATTGAGTTATGGTCTGGCAAAGCATCATAGACAAATCATTTCCAGAGGGGCGTCACCAACGGACATCGCGGATAGACCTAAAACCAATCAGAGTGATGAAGGAGATGACGTATGCAGAGCGGTGGAGAAACATCTCCGAGTGTTGTTCTTTGCTCGGTTTTTAACACAAAGGAAACGTTCAAATCGCTTAAAACAGACACGATAGCTGATTCGAACGAGTGATTTGACAGCGGCACCCAACTTTATAATGTAGGCTACAAAATCTGCTTCAAAATCCTAGCGCTGTTGTCATCGTGTAAAGCCCGCCCCAGCGTTTCTGATTGGTGCCGCGATTTCGACGGATTGGAAATGAGCTTGAATGAGCTCTTTGCCAGACTAACTTTCAGAGCAAATCTAAATTTGCCGGAAGTTGTATGGGTTTTCCCAGGCTACTATGGTTATGTAATTTATTACAAATACATAATATAGAGTGTCTCACTTGAAAATAAGCAGGACAGCTCTCTGAGGGTATCAGAACGAGCTGAGAGAGATTTCCAATGGTGGTCCATCTCTGCAACAAGAATCTTCTGCTCCTCCTCAAGCCTCCTTACTGACATGATGATGTCAAAAGCTCTTCTCTTTGTCCTTAGATCGACAGAGTCTGGAATGCATTATGATAAATAAACAAATCATTAGTTTTAAACATCAACCTTCAAAGACCCTCTAAAATAGTATGGGGTTGCAGAATAACATTTGAAGTCATTATGTATCAGATTTGTCAGTAGCAGTCAACAGTCTAGTGTACATACCACTGTGTGGGAGCTGCCATGGCCAAGCTGTCTCACCAGACAGAATGGTGTCTAGGCAAAGAGTTTCTGTGATTGGAACCATTCTGTTGTATTTCTCCACAACAGATGTCAGGATTCCCTTCTCCTCCCTGATCTTGCGGCGGATTCGGGCTCGACCTTTGTTGCCATCGTTATCTTTATAGAGACGCTGGGAACGTCTCTTGATACTGGCTACCAGCACCTCAATTCTGCTGGCCAGGGCATCAGCATCATTCGTAGTTGTTGTTGCTGTTGTTGCTGCTGAGAAGAAATAGGTGTGGTTTGCACTTTACAATACCAGTAACAATTACAATTATTTGTGACTAAATGTATTACAAGTAATCATTTCCTTACCGTCAGCCCAATCCTTTACATCATTCACCCAGTCTTCCAATTGGCTCGCTGTCACTGTCAATTGGGCTTTCATGGTCTCTAGGTTTTGTAACTGGCTTTGCAGAGATTTTGTGGTCTACAATAACAAACAGTAGTAAGAAACAAGAACCAAATGTTCGATGCACAGCTTCATACACTGCTAACATGCAATACTGAACATCTAAAATTAATTCTACTGATGTCATTACCTTTTGATATCGGCGGGTCAGTGAGATTGCCAAATTGTTGACCTTTTGCTGATTCCAGCGCATGGCCATGAGAGTGAGCATGTCTGTGCGTCCTGCAAAGACAGAAAATAAGATGTTACCATATTCCTCCAAATTAGGATGTACCTAGTGCAGTATGTCACCTTACCTGCTTTTGACATATGTTTTGTGGTCACTGCAATCCTAGAGAGGAAGGCATTGCACTGTTCCACCTCCTCCCCCAGTGTTAGACCAGCCCCATCCTGATATGCCCCACTCCATTTCACCTGGTTAAGAATAAAAAAGAAAAAAACAATAAAAAAAAAACAACAACAAAAGAAAAAAAACAGATGATTGTAGATTTAGATAATACAATTATATCATATAGCAACATTTCCTTACCTCACATTTAAAATCATGGGCTTTGGCATGAAATACCGAAAGGAAAGGCTTCATGTTCAGAAGGTGCTGGAGCTCTGGACAGCTTTTCGCAACTCTTTGGAGGTAGGGCCAATATTTGCAGGTCACATCCATGCAAAAAAAAGTGATTTGCCTACTGGCCAGCTTTTCTTGCAGGTACAGGGGATAGGCAAAAATTTCCCCCCGATACATATTTAAGGCAGAGAGCAGGACACCGTGCCGACACACCGCAAGCTCCAATCCCTCCTCGTCTACCTTGCTGGCAGATCTTTGTGAGGTCTCTCTGGCTGCTGACCACTCACCTCCACAAACACCTCTTCCACTGACCTACAATAAGAAAAATGGTGGATGAAAATAAGACTCTCATAAACAAACTCCTCGGAAAAAGGTTTTACAAAATTTTACATGTTTGGTTGTGTTGTGAATGTGGTCCACAAATCTTTTCACGTCTTCATCCTTGGCAATGAAGACGCCTTCAAAGATGGCCTGTTCCTCAGATCTAAAAAAATAAAAAACAACAATTGGTGATGGATAACAATTTATGATAACTTATAATCTGAGATTTCATGGTTCACACATTAAAGAGTTATGTTTTCCTATTAATAAAAACAATGTGATACACAGTTTGGAGTACCTAGCAGCATTCTTGAAACGATAATGCTTGCGGTTTCCATCAACTGAAACTGCAAGCATTTCAGGAGTGCACGCAGGACAGTTAAAGGTTTCTTCCTTGCACATATTGTCCAACTCAAATCGCACAGCCTCCCACTCAAAAAAACTTTTCAGAAAACTGTCCGCTGAGATCTTGCCAGTCTATTAAAAACAAGGAAACCAACAGCTAATAATGTACAACAAATAAATTAGCATCAAACAGTTTATCAAACCACAACTCAACAAATATCAACAACACTGCAGGATAGATAAATTAAGTGCTCACACGACCAAAGCGGACAGTTCGCTGATTCAGCATTCTTAAAAATGCTTGGCAGGACAGTCCTGGTGCCGCCATCTTCATTTCTTCAAATGAAAAAAAGACATCTGTGGCATAAACTGTGGCAAATTGAAGGGTTGCAGGCCAGTAGTCACTTCTGTTTAGGTCAGCGACTCCAGAAGTCCAAGTGGCTTGGCATGCCTCACAAATTAACTCGGGCATGCTTAGATCATGTCGTCCTGGAAATATCAAAAACACATCCACTGTAATGTAAACCAGGATTTGTGTTCTTTGTACAATTTATACATTACTTTAAAAGTTTTATATCAATGTCAAACTTGTAGATGCTTCTTAAACAGGACAAAATAAAGTTCTTCACATTCTTACCATTCATTGTGACCACAGCAACAGTCTTTCCTGGACTAACCCTCAATGACTCTGGTGAGCAACCACAGATTTTGTCAGGCATCTCCACAGGTACAAGCCGGACTGAAAAAGAACATATGGTACAATTGAATTATGATCAATTTGTATTGACTGAGATTGTAATAGATCAATGGCAATGAAGATAAATCCAAGATAAAACAATAATGGAAAAAAGGCATAATTTAAATAATAAAGCTTATGAGCTTAACTATTCTGAAAATTATACATATGTTGTACACAAACCAGAACTTACCACAATGGGAAAGAGCCTTATCCACCACGTAAGTTGTTGGAGGCAATGGTTGGAAGAATCCAGCAGTCATGGCATCTCTGTTGTGAAGAACATGTCTGGTGTGCATGCTGACGTCACATTCAGCACAGAAGAAGGGACGTGGTCTACAGTCACAACACCGGACAGCCGCTGGATTACTCCCACACTGTTGGCAGATGTGTGTTGCCACATGTTCCCTTTCCGCAGCCGTGTTTACCAGGCGGGGTCTCTCTGCCCTCCACCTCTCTGAAAAGAGACTTTGTCTTTTGCTCCAGTTTGAGGAAGCCAGAAGAGGATCTCTTGGGGTTTCAAGAGGTGATGCTTCATCACCAGAGAATTCACTTAGTGAGTGTTGGAGATCTTGTAGAAAACACTCTGTAAATGGTATGGAATATTAAAAAAATTCATTCCATGTATGTGTATATATATATATAAATATATATATATATATTTTTTTTTTTTTTTTTTTACAATATTAAAGTGTACTCAATTTGGCTGTGAAAGGATCAGTATTCTACCAAAGTTTAAAGTAGAAACATTTATTTACATTCTAACCCACTGTCATAAATATCATATATATATATATAAGGGCTAATGGTGACACAATGAAGTACACACCAACAGTCTCTGGAGTAAAGGCCACCTCACAGTTAGGGTCAGGAGCAATGAAGGGAGGATCAGTCTTCCGAATGTGATCAGCTGTAGAGGATAAAAACAACACAAATCAACATTTATAACTTGTCCCAATGCCTGGTTGCCCGCCTAAAATGGTGCAAGCTCACTGTTTAACATAGAGCTAGAGAGAAATATTAGTACACTTATTTTCCAAACCCTAATGGGGAAAGTCCAATTACTATTGGTTATCTGCATATAAGGTGTCATATAGATGATGACAGCAAATATGAATCCTTATATAGAAGCAGATTAAAAAGAAACACGTTGGTTGGCAATTGACAACACACTCTGAAGAATAAAGTGTTTCAAACACAGCCTTGCCAAGACCAATAACTTGAAAGAGATTAAGTATGATAGTAACCAGGCTATCTCATTTGACGTTATATTAACCATTTTGACAAGAATGCCTGACAATGTTAATACAGCCCACAATTAAACTATTTTTTATGCTTTGCAGTAATATCTAATATTAACCTGAATGTGTCTTTCACTTAATCCAAGACTAATGATATCTTTCATTAATCTACTTTTTATGCAAAAAATCAAATGACTGATTCTGGGTTGACTGTTTCCCTGCCATATTACGCTATACATGTATTGTAACATATACACTCATAAGTGGTTAAACAATCTACAATATATCTTGAATGAAAAACAATACTGACCCTTATCTGAATGATTCCTGCTTGATCTTGGCCTCGCATGAACGATATTTCCAGTATTGTCTCTTTTTCTCCAAACCACCCTCGGTTCAGGTGTCTTTACTGGTGCTGCTGCTGCTGCCTCCTCTTCCTGCAGCTCATCAAGAAGGTCATCAAGACTTTGGAGCTCATCTTTCAGTTCTTGGTCATCAACCAAGTTATCCAAGATCATGAGATGATCTTGGATTTCTGAATCACTCTTGGACATTGTGATGGGCAGAAACACAAACAGACAGAAAGACTCACAACGAAGAGATGACAGACAAACAAATAAATGTAGAGAGAGAGAGAGAGAGAGAGAGAGAGAGAGAGAGAGAGAGAGAGAGAGAGAGAGAGAGCTAGAGAGAGACTGATAAGTGCAGATTAACAAGACAGACGTGGCTCTTAAAAGTGCCTTTGTTTGTGTGTGTGTTTTGTGTGTGTATGTGTGTAAGAATAAAACTCGTTTTAGAAGCTGCCAATTTTGAGGGTCCTAAAGAAAAAACAGAATTGAACATTTTACACCAGTATTCTCTTCATCTGTGTTGCCAGAATGAGCTATATTTTATGTGATATTCATTGTACACAGTTCAATAAACTAGAATTTAATATTGTTAATGACATTTTAGAAAATAATTAGACAAGAAATGTTGTCTAAAATTAAATTATATATAATTCATATACGAATCAGTCAATAAGTTATGATATAATTACTTATTACATTAATTATACATTAATTATACGATTTGTTTGGGTGTTAATTATATAATTTTGCGTGGATTTTAAACAAATAGGCTGTAAAACAAACCAATCTGGCAACACCGTTCTTCATCTGAACATTTATAATGTTGAATAACAGTTGTGTGCTAATGTAATACTGAAAACCTTAAAATCTCCACTAGTATTGCCTTACATGATTATTTCATAGGATTATATGCAACAAAATTTGACAAAAACTTTAATTCAATTAACTTTGCTGGCCTGCACATTTGCAGCATCAAGCTATATTTTCATATTGTCTCTTTCCATCATTTACTGTCAAAATAAATTGCCACCTTACACATCTAAAGGTTCTAAACACAACTTCTTGTCCTAATTCAATAGTTTTTGATGTGTACATTTAAGAATAGTATCCATCTCAAATTAACTCTTCTACTTACCGAGTGGAAAATCGCAATGGACCTCGGGATCGCACCATACAGTGACGTCAGCGTTATTAATTTAGATGATTTAAAAAAAATACAAATTTAAATTAAAAAACATTATAAATTTTATATAAACATTATATATATATTTATTAACATAAACAAAACTCCGATAAAAATACGTTATCCTGCATGCTCTAAAGCACGTGTACATCATGGATGCCAGTAACATTAACCTTCGACAAGAAAACGCTTAAACTGCTTACTTGCACACGCCGTGGAGCGTTGTTAAACTCACCGTTAAATGCCTTTCTACATGCAGTTTAGCGTTGATTTGGTTAAACTCCCCTCTGAATGCCGCTTTACCTGCAGTTGAGTGTTGTTAAACTCACCGATGAATGGTTGTACAACACAATGAGCGTTGTTAAACTCATCGATGAATGCGGTTGCACATGAAGCCGCTAAACCTTTGCGGAGACTGAGGGCACTTTGAAATCAGATTGTGAGGGTTTTTAAACATGTAGAAACAGTTGGATCACCACCACTATACTAGCCCCGGCATAGATCATTTATTGTAGCCTATTCATTTTTATTGCAGTCTCGACTCTCGACCCATTCGCAGCAGACCATTGCGGTGAGCTTACCCAAGACGTCAAATTGCAACGCTACAGGCTCCGGTTGAGAGAACTATAGAAGTCTATCGGACTACCCTGCACGTTGAAAAATGACGACAAAGGTATACCCAGTGCGTCAAGAAATGACGCCAAGGGGTCCTGCCCAAGCGTCCATATGTGACGAGTTGGGGTGTGAGAATGTGTTGGAATGATACGTCTTCGCGTCTTTGCATTGACTATGAATGTACTCTGCTATCGCAATTAAATTCGCGTTCGGTGTAAACACACCATTAATGCATATACGAGCCAACATCATGGTCATATATTTTGAAAAAACACAATATAGCTACTCGCGTGCAAAACACTTATTTCATTCGTTAACATGTAGACTACAAATGTTTGCATTCGTAAGAAACGTTTCTAATTGTTGATGCAAAATTTGTAGCAATTCTGAAATTCAGTTAAAAGTAAATTTCTTGACCAAAAATGCAATAAATGATCATGTGTAGGCCTAAGTACAAAAAATAAGCTTACCGCTTCTCAACGTCTTCACATTTTTCATATTTTTTTTGTCTGGATAGGCATCACGGGAAATTGCATAGCCTATATCACGTGGCTCATACAGTTACTTAAACTGATATAATCGATTTACTTAATTTTGATGCAATTATTGTAGTAGTTGACATGCATTATGTTTTTTTTATTATTTTATTTATGCATACAT